CTGCCTATGGTTTACCGGGCAGTTCTGTTTGTGACGATATATATATTCTATTTGACGATATATATATATATACATATATCGTCAAATAGAACTGCCCGGTAAACCGTAGGCAGAGAGGGAGAAGAGGACAACAAACGAGGGGCTGTGACAAACTGTTTCGTCGGAGTTTCCGACTCATCAGGAGGCTGAACCCTCAACAGTCTGTAGAATTCCCTCACTGATTACACTGTAAGTGATAATCCACCTTAACCTAAATCAAAGTAGACTATCACTCACCCACACCAGATGGAAAACTCTACAGACTGTCGGTTCACACCCCATCACAAGCCAGCAAAACACCCACGAAACAAAGAAAGGTCTGTCACAACCAAAAAATACACTCCAGACACGCCGCTGGCACTAGAGGCACAGCATGGCCGCGTAGTGACGGCCCCGACCACTGCCGCTGGACCTGACCGGAGAAAACCGTAGCAGGAAGCTAGCGAAGTCGTAGTATATATCGTCAAATAGAACTGCCCGGTAAACTGTAGGCAGAGAGAAAGAAGAGGACAACAAACGAGGGGCTGTGACAAACTGTTTATATATATATCTTTGTGACGATATATATATATATATATATATATTTATATATATATATATACAGGGTAACCGGCGTTCGGGACGGGGCGAACGCCCGAACGTATGGGACCCCTTGGCAATGCGTTCGGCCGTTCGGGCCGAACGCGGACCCAAAAAAAAAAAAAAAAAAACACATCAAAAAAATATGAAAAAAAGATATGTTATGGAGAAAAATAAATTAAACAAGAGTTGCCTGAGCATAACATCCGAGTTCGTTACAAAATTTTAAATAAAAATAAAACACACAGAACAAATACTAATAATAAAAAATAAATAAAAATAAAAAGAGAATTAAATTTAGTGAGTGCGCGAGCATGTTTTCGACACCGCCATCTTTGGCGATTTTTCTTTTTTTTTTGGCATAGCTAAATGCCCTGAAAATTTACAGATGTGTACTTCACATAATACAAAACCCACTAAAACAGTTTAAAAAAATAATAAAATTGTTTAGACCCCGAACTGAAGTGGAAACAAAAAGTTAAAAGTGAAAAAAAACGTGGGCGAGCACGTTTTGACACTGCCATCTTTGGCGATTTTTAATTTTTTGTTGGCTTAGCCAAATGACGTGAAACTTTATAGGCATATACCTCACGTCATAGAGAACTCATTTAAAAAAATTTAGAAAGCAAAAATTATTTTTAGGCCCCGGAATAAATTTTGGCGGGGGCCGAACGCCGTCGGGCTCGGACCCCGTACGGGACCCCGAACGCCCGAACGTACGGAGGTCCGCCCGGGGGCCTCCGTATGTATGGGCTGGTAACCCTATATATATATATATACGTGCCTCCACCGCCCTGCCCGCTCTGATATATATATACGTGCCTCCACCGCCCTGCCCGCTCTGATATATAAAAAAGGTCTGATGCACACACACACCGGGAGGCGTTTGCACATACATGTGGCGAGGTCCTGCCACCGCTCAAGTTACGATCCTACAAAAAGGTCCTGTCAACCACATAAGCTCCGGGCGTACCACAAAAAAAAAAAACACAGACAACAAACAAAAAAAAAACAAAAAATAAAAAAATGAAGAGAGGGGATGACATTTGCAAATCCACCCAAAGAAATGCCACGCGACAATACGCCGATTATGTCGGCTCTGCATCTACATCCCCGCTGTTCATCATGTGGGCCGTAGCGAGGCTGTGCACCTAGACGCCATAACCGCCACAAGGTTGGCCATAATGGCGTTCCCTTCCTGCATAGCCCCGGCAACAGCGCCTATCTGTTGTGCGATGTCGCCAACCTGGGAGGAGAGCATCGAAGCCCCTTCTGTCGTCGCACGTGCCAGCGTCCCGGAGGCTCTATCCAGCCCATCCACGAGAGCCCTCGTCGATTCCTCCATGATCACCCTCATCCCCGCCGTCGCCGGCAAACCGTCTCCACGAACCCTGCCCGCCGATGTTCGCCATGTCTTCGCACTGTTATCCGAAGCATCACTACCGCCACCTTCAGATGTCGCCTCGCCTGCACGATCGGGCCCGCCTGCCCCTTCATTCACCCCCCCCCACTAAGGTACATCCATCTCCTCCGATGCAAGGGTGTGGTAGCCTTTGAATGAAGCCTTCACCCTCCACCATTCCATGGCGTCCCACAGAGAGCGTTCGAAGGTAAGCGGAACCCCCTTGTCCCACCTTTCATCTGCAGTCATGTTGTAGTACCCAGCCTGCTCAGATCGGTCACACTTGTCGGAGATGAGGTTCACGGTGTCCTTCATCTTTGTCCACTTCTTCCTGCAGTCCTCAGGTGTCCGGTTGTATACCGCATCATGCATGCGGTCGCTGATCCACTCGTACCTTTTCCCCCGTGTCATGTGCCTGTGAGGACTGTTTGCGCCTGCCATCAAAGCATTGTCCTCCCCGCAGATCTTCGCAGGGTGCATGCGTTCCTCCAAGGACCAAGGTGTGTGTTTTTTCGCTGTTTTCGGATGAGGCGCTTTGCGGGCCCGTTGCCTGCCACTTAGTGTGTTCGTCTCCTCGCTCAAGACAGTCGGCCCATCAGTGGAAGCACCACCTGATGTCGGTCCTTCGTTGTTAGGGAAAGTGCGAGAAGAACCCCCCTCGTCTGTCGTGACAGGCCGGGGGACAGGTGGTGATGGGAGGTGTGGTTCGCCACACACTGTATGTCGCATAGGATTAGACCCCCCAACATCCCCGGTCATCTGTCGTGACCCACCTCCGATGGATGATCCCATCAGTGACGGCATTCCATCCCACATCCCGGAATGCCCCGATGCGGACGCCATGGGCCGTGCCGAGACAAGTCGTCAACTCTTCCTCCTGTCGGCGCATTGCCAGGTGTGCATGGCGGTTGCTGACCACGACGAAGGTGCGTCATTTGGCGGTCGAAATTGTCAGCAGGATGGCCACGCTGCCGATCTGCCATCGACAGCCGAGGTTGGTGTGCAATGTATGGCGTGTGCTGCACTTCGAGCGATCGGCGCCGCGGCTGTCCTCCTCCCCATGCACCACACCCTTGTGAATTGACGTCGAACTGTGGGAAGCTGGCATCCACCCTCAAAGTGTGATGGACAGCCTCTTCGCCGTACCCGTCCCCTACACCGCCACGTGGCACCCCTCCTTGCAGATTGCCACCTGGCGGGGTCAAATCCACGCCATAAAACCCTTGCTGCCCCCCGCCAGTACCAGGCCTGTCCATCCCACCAAACGTCCACGGATGCCCGTCTACTCGTTGGCCGACTCCTCTCTCCGTCGGCGAGTTCCTGGCACAATCTTGACTCCATCCAGGGAACCCGGGACCGCCACCGCGCACCACACCTCTCATGTCCTCCAGTCTCGCATCCTCTATGCTCATCGCCCCCTCATAACCGGCCATGAGCTCGACTGTGAATCTGCGGCCTTCCATGGTGAGAAGTCCGTCGACGGTGCACAGGATGTGCAGGTCCCTCTCAAAGCCTCCGCCTTGCGAGAACGTACGTGATGAGGACGGCGGCAACGCAGAGAAGAGCGACAGCGATCACAAAAAACAATACACAACTATCGCGATAAAAAAAGCGAGCGCTGCACACAACAGGAAATGTTGTACGTGCCCCCCACAACAAACGATGATCACATGCGGCTGTGCACCTGCTCCGCTGCACGTAGAGGTGAACTGCCAAAGCCGGTCTTCCACCGCAGGAGATGACGGGGCGCCTGAAGGGATGGCGGTAGGCTGCCGGTGTCTGCTGATTACCTGTGGATGAACGGCCACCGTTCCTCGCCCTGTTTGGCCACTCACATTTGCCGACAACCACGGATGCGGATTCGGCCAAACGGGCAGAGGAGGAACACGGACCCTAGCTACAGCGCCGACCGTTGAGGTATGGCGATACGCTGGCGAGCACGACAGGCGTCGGTTGATGGAGTCCTGATTGCCTTGGCGTGCTATGCGCTGCGAGGAAGTCAAGGACGACGAGTGCGACCGCTGACAATACGAACCCCTGGCCACCGTACCTAACGGCCGTTCTCGCATGCTTCGGCGAGCAACACCGAACAAGCACGGGACTTGGAGAACTCTGCCGACCCCAAACATAGGGAAAGACGGCGCGGAGCACGTCGAAGGAGCGTAGCCAGGGCTATGGAGGACGGCCACGCGCACGCGGATAGAGGACGTGATAGACAACTACATGGGATTGCCATGCATGGCATGCATGTGCGCGATGTCTGTTCACTGTAAACAACTTCGTGTTTGCCCGTGAAGGCACCGCGGACGCACCCCAGGGTATTCGAAATTTCGAATTTCAAATTCGGCCACTGACCAACGTTTCGTAGACCGTGGTTCCATGGTACCTGTCCCGTTTGTCCCGCCCCGATCGTGTGACAACGGCTTCGTCCGTCCGCTTGTCCGACCTTCGGCTAGGTAGCGTCGTGCGGAAGCAAAATGGACCTGTGCGATCTTCCAAGTCTGGAAGACGTAGGGGGATGCCCCCCCCTACCCCTTGCGTTTGCCACAAAATTTCGACAAGGCTGACGTGGATCGACCGTTTTCCGGCCGGAAAAGGACTTGGAAACTCACATTTCTCTTTTCCAGGCGCCACTTTTCTGGGCGGTGGGGTCTGGCAAATAGAAAAAAAAAAACTTCCAGACACTTTTCCAGAGGCTGTGGGGTCCGAGAGAACACCCGGCGGAATAGTTCTTCCCAGATTTTCCCCTGAGGGGTCGTCTGAGATTACTCTGATTAGCCAATGTTGCGTTGTTCAGGGACGCTGGACCCGTTTTCCAGCAGGTGCTGCTGCCCACCAATAGATGGAGCACAGTAGTTCTGGGCCGATGTTCCTGTGGCGGCGGGCACTTGAGTGCTCCCTGTTCCTTACGGGCAGTGACAAGATTCTTGTTTTTCTGTTTACTTGTAAGAAAAAGAAAAAAAAAAGGGGAACAGTGGCATACTATGACTCTATGAGATTACCTTCAGATTCATGCGTAGCAGGCCAAGATACACTTCGTAAAGTGCTTTTCGAGGAATGGCCCAAATCGTCCTAAGGCTTTCGTGGCAGGCACTTGAATGCTCCCTGTTTCTCACGTGGAGTCGCATAAAAAACAGCCGAGATTCTTTTTTTTTTTTTTTCTTTGTACAAGTGGACCCGCCGCAGCGACGCTGCGGCAAAAGGAGATGGAAAAAGGAAAACAAAGAGAAAGAGCGAAAGAAAGCATGCCGGCATAAACGAAGGATACAAAAATTGTGACCCACAAAATTGTATGTTGAAGTCAATTTGTGTCGTCGCTGCACGTGGACAAACAGCAGAGGGATCAGCGGCGGGGGAAGGGATTTTAGGCACGGAGGTATGTAAGAGCACGGCGGATAATGTTTGTTCTGAAGGTAGGGAATAGCGGTAGGGGATTTTGCATAGCACGGTGGTGGAGAAGGATGAGGTCATTCAGGTAATCCCATGTACGTGGAGGGTGGGGAATGTTGTAGATGCTGAGTGTATTGTGGGAGTAAAGAAGGTCGTGGATGAGTGTTGTTGCGTATGTAGCACCCCCGGGTTCGAGTGCGAGCCACCAAAGCGGGTCGGGGTCATACACGGTGTGAGGCTGGAGAAGTGGCAATCGGGGTGGCGGTGCAGAGCGGATGAAATAAGATTTATGGTGGGCAGCAGTAATACGTTCGTATTGATATTGGGCGCGCGGGGTGCGGGGTAAAGGCGTATTGCTGTAATCATCATTGATGATTTTAAGCAAGAAAGTTTTTGCGCGTGCGTATTGGATGTTGAGGTCGGGTGATGGGTCAGGGCGACGAAGAGAACGGAGGCGGTTGTCTTTGTAAACGTCGAAGAAGTCGTAAATGTGAGGTGAGAAGGCTGCGTGGTCGGTGATGAGAAAACCCTCCCATAGAATTTGCTGAATTATGTCTTCAATGTTGTCTTTGTTGATGAGAGCAAGCCACGAATCCCATCTAGGATGTTGTGGCAAGGTTGGTTGTGAGAGCGAGGACTGCATTGGCGAGGGGTGTTGGGTGGTTGGAGCGGCGGAAGGTAGGAGTTGTGATGAGGCGGGTTCAAAAGATGGCAAAGGAATTTGACTAAGTATTGTGTCATCAAGTTCAAGAACGGGAAGGTGAGTTGACGAGGTGGAAGTTGTGGCTTGTGACGAAGTAGCTTGTGAGGATTGTATGTCTTGTGTAGCCGTAGTCGATGCCGAAGCAGCAAGTGAGGATTGTATGTCTTTTGTAGCTGGAGTCGACGCCGAAGTTCTTGATTTTTTGGTGGCAGGGGAATTTTCTTCAGAACTTGCAATAGAAAGATAGAAGTGAAAAGAGAGTTAGAAGTTATGTGTGGAGGGCGGTGACGAAGAGGAGTAGAAAAATATAAGGAAAAAGGGGAAGGGTAATAGAGAAAGTCGGGGATTTGAAGTTGAAGTTATTGGTTGTGATGGGAGAGGGTGCATGTAAGAAGGTGAGGATGCAGGTTTAGTGAGGGGGTTTGTAGCGGGAGCAGTTTTTGTACCTGAAGTTTGGAGCAGTCCTTGGAAGTCGTCGATGATGAGTTCGCAGCAAGATCGTTGAAGAGTTGTTGTTGGCTTGATACAGTAGTTGCAACATATGATATGTGGAGGTGCAAGAGTGGAAAGCATGAAGTTGTTGATGCAGGTCTTTGGAGGAGGGTGAAGGGGAAAAATGTGAGGCAGTTGTGTGGGTGGAGCGCTGTGTAAGAGATGCAGAGGGTGTTTTTATATGAGGATTTCCTTGTAGATAATATTAGTCGTATGGCGGGATGGAGAAGGAAGAGCGAACCGTATGTGTGCAGGGTCACCGACTCTGAACGCAGCGACGTAAAGTTGACCATGTGCGAATGGCGGCTGGTGAAGATAAATGCCAGCATGTTTGACGGATTGAACCTGAGATTTGTTGATAGTGATGGCAAAAGTAGGGCGAATGGGGAACTGGCGTCTTTGCCACGGGAAGAGGGATGTAGCATGAGTGACCGCGAGCAATATACGTGGGAGAAGAACCGGTTCAAGGGAAGGGAGGGTGCCGCCGTGGAGGAGTCTATTTTGACTCTACTATTTGTGAGCGAGTCAACAATTAGTCGTGTTCCGTTGCACGGGTTATTTCACATTGCAATATTGTGCAAAACAATAACGGGAGCATGTTTTTTCATGCGGAGGATGTGGGGGGGAAACGATGGAAGGTCCAGGGTGTTGAGAGTGTCAACGGGAATGTCCGGGAACTCCTCATTGGAAAGGAGCGAGTCCGCGCTGAGGGATGTGATGATGTCGCCAGGAAAAGAATCGAGGATGATGTTGTTTAATGTCAAGACAGTTTTGTTTTTTGGGGCCAAGATGAGGCGCTGAGCCAGCCATTCGGGGTTTCATAAATTGTTTTGGAGATCAGGAAATGTCCAATCAATGAGCACCGAAGTGCTGCCATGGAGGTATAAGTCAGGGGGCAAAAGAGATAGTGTTGTGAGGCGTGTCGTCAGGGTGGTCGAGGTTGCCGGTGCTAAGCGCTAAGAGCCATTGTGCATAATTTTGTCCATCAGCGGTGTTGATTTGTGTGAGCACACGCATGTTTTCAGACAAGTGCATGGTTTCAAAGTGGCACCATAATGGCGACAATTTAATGCATGCGTCTACCGTGTGCGCACATGTAGCTTTGGTAACGACAGGGAGGATTTGGCGAAAATCACCACCGAGAACAATGATTTTGCTGCTGAAAGGGAGTGTAGATGAGCAAATGTCTTGCAAGGTTCGATCTAGTGATTCAATGTGAAATTTATGTGTCATCGGTGCTTCATCCCACAGGATAATAGTGGTCAAACAGATGAGATCGGCGAGTGCAGATTGTTTGGGGATATCCAAGGTGGAAGTAGCGAACGGGTTGAACGGGGCTTTGAATCGCGAGCGAAATGTTCGTCCACCGTGAAGTAAGGTGGCTGCAATACCACTCGATGCGACAGCGAGGGCAATGCGGTCATGAATGCGAAGATGTGCGAGAATTGTGTTGAAGCAAAATGTTTTACTGCTGCCAGCAGGTGCGTCCACAAAAAGGCAAAGTGACTCGTTATTTTCTGCAGCGTGAATAACACGTTGGAAGATTATGTATTGAGAGGGAGTTAAACGTGGGAGGTTGTTGTCGAGCGTGTGTTGGAGGTGATGTTTGTCGTATGAGATTTCGTCGTCGATGAGGCGCGGTATGTCTCAGTGTCGTGATCTTTCGGAGAGGTTGTTGGCTTGCTCTCTATCGGGTGGCAGCGGGGGTGTGAGACCAACGTCTGCAAGTTCTTTGCCCTCTTTTTGCAATCGGTTTTCGATGTCAAGGAGAAGCATTGCTTTGATAATTGAAGGCAAAACTTGGACATCGGAAAGGTTTCTGTGGAAGTCGTCAGTTATTTGTTGTCAGTGGGTTTCAAAGAATTCATTGGGATCACTTATAGCGCAGTGGAGGATTATGTGGACGAAGAGGTTACGAACCATTG